TTGTAACACATTTTATTAATTCATCAAATCATTGATCTTTATATTGTTAAATTTTTCATTCATATAATAATAAATGAACATCATAAATATATAACAGATTATTCTATAAATCTATTAATATCATAGAATTTAATTTTAATGAAAAATTAATTAATAAAGGCAATAAAATTTCTAAAAAACATATACCAACTGTATATAAAGAAATATGATAAATGTATAACATTTCATTAAGATCAGTTTGCACAAAATAAATATGAATTTTATCACAATTTAAGGAGAGATTTAAAACATATATTTACTGAGTATAAATATAGATAAAAAACTAAGAGTATAAAAATAAAGATCAAAATGATAAATAAAAGCTACGAGTTAAACTACAGGATATTCATTGATAAAATTTTGAATGACCAAATAAAACACGTTTTAATCTCTATTAGATCATTATCAATATTAACAAAAGAATTACTCTACTGTACAAATTATAAATATCCGATAAGTGTTATGAACACAATGTTAATTTAATAACACTTTTGTCAGACATGTATAATTTATACTGCACAAAATAATTGTTTTGTCATTAATAATTACTTAGGCCTGGTTGCATGCACCAACTTACTTTGATTTTAAGCGAGGCTTAAAACTCTCTATCTCTTCCTCTCTTTCAGCTTTAAAGAGAAAAATTGAGTTTTAAACCTTCCTTAAAGTTAAAATACGTTGGTGCAATCGAGCCTTAATAGAAGGAAAATATCTGATATATTGGTTAAATTTTAAAATCAAACATCTAGCTTAGTTCTCAGTATTTTTTTATTTTTAATCTAATTGATGCTTCTTTACCAATTTAGATTAAAAAAGGATAAGGAATAAATTAAATCATTGAAAGTAATTTATATTGATAAAAATAGGCAAAAGAATTAGAAAAAGATGAAGAATAAGTTCAACCGAGATTGGAATTAAATTATATTGGTAGAAAGGAAAGCTTTGGTGATATTTAATTATCACATGTAAGTTACGTTAAATGAGAATTCTTTTTCAATTTACCGTGCTGCACATTCGTTGGCGACGAATCATTTTGCAGGTTGCGATGTTTGTCGAAAGTCCGTGTTCTGGCCTCCCTACGAGATTTATCGTAGTTACAAGCACGTAGATACCTTCTGTGATTCGTGTCACCGAATCCTGGACGAGGATTTTTGTATTGTTCTTTAAAATCCGGCATCTCGTACGATTTCGTAAAAACGATTCAACGTAAACACGTCGAACACACGTAACCGTTTAACGGCAGCACAACTGAAAATCACTTCAAATTGATGGTCAGGGAGCTGAACGTTGGAATAGTAGCGTACGACGATTCCCATTGGTTCTCGTTAGCCGGCTTGAAATGACGAATGCCAGTCGTGCCAACAGATGACTGGAGTCCTAGAAACCAGTGATGCGTCAGTTTGGGTTAGGTTGCCATTTTAATTCTGTATAAGTACTTATAATTATAAGGTGCCTTTTTATGCTGACGCTCGACGCTCATTGTCAGCGTCAAAATAAATTACAAGATCAAAATTGACGCTTGATATTCGTCAATTTCTATCTGACTTATTTTGACGCCGAAAATGAGCGTTGACATGAAAAGGCACCTTTTAAAGCTGATGACAGCTGATGCATTACATGAGAAAAGTTAAATTGTTAGAAAAAGAAGAAAGTATAACGTACTTATGGTATATACTTAATAGTACATACATTATTAGACTGTATAGAATCTGGTCCTAGGACTCTAATTATATAGTAATGAATTAAAATGGCGCTCTGATCACGTGATTTAGACAACCAATTAGATCATACTCCTTTAATGTCGCATCTTTAGTTTCTAGGACTCTAATGACGATAAGTTGTTTCAAATATTAATGCCCGTATTCATAGTCAGGCCTTATATTTAAGGTTTCCTTAAATTTATCTTCAGATACTCTACGAATTATTTTCATTCGTTACTGAGTATCTAAAGATAAATTTAAGAAAGCCTTAAGTACAAGGTCTAACTATGAATGCGGATATAAAGCTTTGCGCACAATAGAAGGAATAAGGAATTAGGAATAAAGAATAAACGATTTCAATCTATTAAAAATCGTGTATTTCGATGTATCCGATTTCTGATAAGTTAAAATCATTTATTCCTAATTCTTTATTCTTTCTATTGTGCGCAGGGCCTAAAATAAGAGAGTCTGCTCGCATTATTTATACACTTAGCATTTTCGCTTTTTCTATTTTCAATGTCCAGATATGTCATTTTAAGGGCCTTTTTTACCAATTTTTGATAAAATTAATCAATTCGAAGAAGTGCCAACAGTAGTTTTCTCCCCTTTCTTGCTCTTTTGAAACTGAAACAATTATTGGTTGACTGCGTTCAGTAGAACGTTTATTTTGCAATTGTTGGAAATTTTCTTCACGCTGATTGGACTATACTTTCAGATCTAGAAGAATAGTCCTATCTCTGCAGACAACGAGCGTTTTCAAGTTGACAAAACAGCTAGTCGAACAAATAAACATGATTGGTGTTATTTGTAGATCCAACTAATGATATTCAATCGTTCGGCGAGCAGACAGTTTTGTCCGGCTTGAATGCGCGATCATAAAATAATTATAAAACTGTTGTATTTTCTACTGAACGCAGACTTAAGTCATCGATTAGTAATCAGATCAAAATTGGTGAAAAAAGCTCAAAGGTATATATTCACATAAACTTACATGGTCGCATAAATAAGTCTCACTTTATAAAACTTCTTTAGAAATAATGCAACAAGTTTATGTGGATATACCTTAATGATTCCCGCCCAAAAAACATGGTAAAACTTTCCGCGCGCGCGGAAGTTGCAGTGTTTCGCTTGCTCGAAAGTAATAGATATATAATTTTCACAAAAATTGAACTCAATTCAACTTTTGCTTCACGGTGGAAGTAGTATTGCATAATTTTCATAAGTTTTGCAAAGTAAGACCGACTTAAAAACATAAAATGTTTGGTCAGTGCGACAATTTCCGCCGCGCGGTAAGCGTTCCCGCGTTTTTTATGCGGGAGCCAATAGAATGATTTGTTAGTGCGACAACTTCCACCGTGGGGGAAGCGTCGTTTCCGTCAGTTATCGCGTTCAGTTTGCGGCGGCCATTACGTAATGCTTCGTTTCTTCACGTTACGTGCTCCAATATATTCCAACATGCTCCAACGGAGTGAGTACGAACTATGGCAGAAGCATATTAGAGCACGTTGGAGTATGTTGGAGCATACGCGACAAACGAATAACATCAGTGCGGTCGATGCGGGCGGTGTGGTGTAGTGCTTTTATTGTGTGTGTGTGTGTGTGTGTGTATAATTGTGCCTTTTTTGGATTATCTTCTTGCAGCAGCGAAGCACAATTATCATGGAATTGTCATTGAGTACGTATATATCATTGATATATAATTAAATGTATTGATTATACTCTTTTTGCTTCATTAAATGAGAGATACTCAGGTGACTTCCATGTGACTGTAGCGTCACTTCTCACTATATCCAATTTTAAGTTATTATTTGTAATAATATCGTACGGAAACAATTAAGCGCGTGATATTGAAAGCATCAAGAAAACTTCTGAATAGTTATTGTATGTAAATATGTATATTTTGTATAGATCGAGCGTGGATGCGTGAGAAATCCGTCAAATGAACTCCGTGCAATCGCATAAGTTTTTGTGTGATGGGTTTTTCCCAAACTAATCATGCAAACGAGTTAATCAAAATAATAATTAGCTGATACTAACATTAACAATAGCAATTAAATTGTGGTAATCATGATTGTTTTCTCTAAAATGTGATTATTATATGTATATACTTGATGAAGACCGTTAATTAATTCTACGAGTATTCGTTTGAAAAATCGTTTCTAGTACCCTCTAGCGGTTGGAGTAAGAACTTACTAGTCGAACTTCCTAGTCGATAGGTGCAGATGGTAATGGAAGGAATTAAGTCAAGTTAGGTTTTCATACTCACCGTGTGAGAGATTTGTAGATTTATTATTTAGTTAAGAAAATTCTCATATTAGTGACAGTGTTTTGTCATTAACTTTGTCGTCTCCTTGTAAGTCAGGGAACAAATGGAGAAAAAACCGAAAGTTATCATCTTTGATTTAGGTATATACAGGCGAAGTTGTGAACATTATGATTTAGATGCATGACAAATTTATAATAATTATAATCTTTTTTTTATATTGCAATAAGAATTATTTAGAATGTGATTTTTGGAGAAATGGAAAGGATATTACATTTCAGATTATACCTTGTGGCCGTTTTGGGTAGACAGTTTTGTAGAACCACCATTTAAGAAAGGGTGCGTGCATTAAAAACTGATAAGATTATGTAGTATTTTAAGAATTTTTGTCCAACTTAAAAAAGGAAACTTTTAGAGCACGAAATAAAGTAATAGATGCACGTGGTCGTGACGTAGACCACTACTCTGATGTTCCTGATGTATTAAAACAGTTATCAGGAGAAGGATATGAACTGGGTATAGCGTCACGTACAGCAGAGATAAAGGGGGCTAAACAACTAATAGATGCATTTGGCTGGAAGAAATATTTCAAGTATGTTGAAATATTTCCTGGCAGCAAAGTCACACATTTTTCTAAGTAAGTCTTGTGTAATATTCACAAAGGATAGGATTATATAGTAGTTTAAAATTATAATTTACATTGCTTTCAGCATTCGAAAGAGTTCTCACATTGATTATAAAGATATGATATTTTTTGACGATGAGGCTAGAAATATCATGGAAGTTGGTAAACTTGGAGTACATGCTGTATTAGTTGAAGATGGTGTAAGTCGTTCTGTTATAGAAGATGCTCTGCAATCATTTAATAACAAATAATTGTTTAAACATTAATATAATTTATTTATCTTTATGATTGTTTTGTAATATCTACAAAATAAATTTATTAATAAGATCTGAAATTAATAAGATCTTGAATTGAATAACAAAAAATACTGGTACGAATGAAAGCAATAATTATATACATTTTTCATCATGAAGATAGAGTTTATCGTATTAATTAATCATTCTTTGATAGTATTGTACTGGACTTTTGATAACGACGTCGTTAATGTCATCTTCACGTACGAGTTTCAGAAATGTAGTGCAAAGAACTTCTGGATCTTTAGTAGATATGTTATTTATAAATTTTTCAATTTCATCTTCATTTACTGAAACTTGTAAAAGATTTCTGAGTACACTTGTATCAAAATCTTTGAAAGGACAACCACCCTCATATGTTGCTCCACTAATACCAACCTATAATAGTTTCGATGTTTGAAAAAGTTATTCTAATAATAAAGTTTATGTACATTAGAAAAGATACTTTTTGTGTGACATTTTTGTACTTACACAAATGAGATTGCAGTCAGGCGTTTTGTAAGTTCTTCGCGATCCTTCTAAACCATACATGTGTCTGATGCTATATATGAATTTTTTCTCATTGGATTGCCAATTGTGTGAACATACTGAAGTACAAGTATGTGGCTTGGAATATTCTTGCTTCCAAAATACAATTGAATCTTCTAGAGTCATTCCTATTTCTTTTAGAAAAAGACTGTAGTATAAACGCGCATAGTGACTGAGACGATGTCTTCTTCTTAATAGAGAATGCAAATGTTGCATACATAATGGGAATTTCTGTGCTTCTATTTCTATGTTATCAATAGTTACTTTTCCATGAGGAACACCTTCCTTGAAGAGATAGGATTGAATTTTCTGATTTAAAATGTGGAATCTAAGATCATGTTTTATGATATATTGCGACTGTCTCTTCATGATATTCATTTCATTGATTACATAATTACTAAATAATAATCGAAGTACTTTTTTCCAATCTGAACAATGCGTAATGACATTTCCATTATGAAGGACTAGTTCTCTTTCTTTCACCAAATCTGGTACTATTTCAAATCTCACTGAAATATGAAATAAAAAATTAGTTTATTTGAAAATTTTTTATATATAAATAACATTCTGTATTCATACTTTCATATCGAAAATTATTGCAATCGTGACAATTTGATGTCAGATGTTTAAAAACTAAGGGCTGCAAATAAAATTTGCATAACTCAATGAGAATTGTGTCAATTGTACTTTTTTTATCTTTAAATATTTGCAGTTTCCATGTAATTTGTTTTAATAATTTATGTAATCGTCTAGGTGATAGACTATCTAATCTATGTTTAAATAATAATGATTCTTTGCCAATCCAATATATACATAAATCTGATGATGTAGAAGCTAATAACCTAAAAAAATAAACAGCAATGTTTAATTAATTAGGAATACAGATTTTTATAGTTCTATCTACGTTTAATTTCTTTAGTTTAGACAGAACTTTTTTAAACTGTATATTACTTATTCTTTAAATATTTTAATTATTTTTAATTATTAAAGATTGTCTAAAAAATTCTAACATATACTTACCTTAATACAAAATGTCCAATTTTATCATAGGTAGAATTTTCTAATAAGTACTCAAATTTCCCATCAAATTCATTAGCAAATCCTTCACTGAGGAGCCTCAAATAATCTAATCTAGTCAAAATACAATCTTCCATAATATAAAGCGGTATCTCGCCATTTGGTGGTATAATATAAAACATATCTATGTCTACATCAATCATATCAGATAACTCTCAAGTTTTGTTACATATGAAAATGTACTTGTAAATAAAGACCCTGTAATCGGAGTCTAACCACAATGTCCGGCATTTTTCTTCAAAATTGTGCGAGAGAGAAAGATCTATCTCACTCTTACTCTCTTACTCATTCTGCACTGTAAATGTAGCAGCTCTATAAGTTTCATAGTTTCTGGCGGACATGGATAAACACACAGTGAACATACGTAGGCTGCGTTCCATTTAATAGCGTTTTCTCCTGGAAACTACACTGAGTGCAGCCTCGCATCACACCAGTTGCGTGTAAGCGCTACACTGGGTGCTTTCCATTTGATGACACAAGTTGACACAAGCGTCGTTCTTTCATGTCATCCTTGTTGACTCAGAAAGTGACAAAAATAGAACGACACTTGTATTGACTTGTCACTAAAATAACCTCCGTTCCATTTTCAAATTTTAAATGTCCCACTGGCTCTACACCGTTCCTTTGAGATGGTGTAGCAAAATCCCACTTCGTGTAGAAAATTTGCATTATACCGTAGTCACGTAAATACCGAGAATGAGTTCGCTTATCACCAGCCATAGAAACACGGTACACTGTCTGAGTGTTGCAATAGTGGGCGATAGTGCAACCAAGAGAAAACGCTATAAAACTCACAATACTCGTGGAATCCTTTCCTTGTTGTTTATCAAATGTTAAATAAGGACAAACGATGCCCGCCAGCGTTGCAAGTATTATGTGGAGCCGTAGTTTCGTGTAGTCCAATTTTTTTTCTCAATTTTGCATAATATTTAAATATAAGTATTTCTTTCCGAATAAAAATGATTGGATGCGCCAGCATTTTTCTGCAACAATTCATCGTCAAAAAATGCTAGATAATAAAATACATTTCTAACAACTATGGCGAATTGAAAAAAAATGTCGGACCAATCACAAACAAGACTACGTCGTGGCTAGACTCTGATTTTACGTAGGGTCTTTATTTGTAAAAATGTTCTAAATTTAATTTTTGTAAATGTATAATATTTATAATTTTTTCTTTGAAGCAAAGACAATACTGTTAGAACAATACTTTTTTCTTTTTTTTCCTCTCTTCGTGAATTTAAGAGTTTTGTTTTTGAAAACATTTTTCATAGTTGTTTTTTCATTTTTACATATGCAACGTATGCATTACATATGCAACATTTTCGTTCAATTTTCAATTCAACTTCACTTTATTTACAATTTCCCCACAATGAATCATTCATTTTTGCGGTTCAAATGTAAAATTCTCAAAGTTACCTCTTCTTCAATTTATTTATAGTTAAATGAACAAATTCGAACATTATACATATAATTGTTATGTTTGATGATAATGAGATTCATTCATTCGTTCATACAAGCATCGAATGAATATTATTATCTAGGGATTTGTCATACAATTGCAAATCTACCTAACGCCCGGAATAGATATCCTGAAGGAAAAAGCGGGAATCAGAATGAATATGAATTATAAGAAAATAAAATATGGTAAAGAAAGAATAAAAGAAAATTATGATTTTCTTATTTGACGAAAAAAAACTTTGTTTTTTTTTTAAGCTATATGTATTGTATTTTAATGCAATTATTGATACAAATTAATATAATACGATGCAAAGAGTTTGTGGGATGATAGGAATTCCATGAAATAAATGATATGACTTTGATTTTCCAATACAAATAGATTTATCGTTGTGCTTCATGAATAATGGATAATGGAACTTACAAGTTGTATGTTGTTTCTTTAATGATATACACATGTAAGTTATATAAATGATGTGTTTCAGGTCTACGACGCACAAAAGTTTATGAATTCGGTAGAATTTACCTGCACCTTATATGTAGCAATGTAATCGAGACGAGCGAACTTTGTGGCGAAATTGAAATGATAATTCGCTTGAAAAGTTCAACCTCTCCTCGATGGTTGTCGATCGCATCAGTATTCTCTGTTATCTCTATTCAAGCAAGAATCGTCAAAGAACAGTACACGTTGCATTTTGCATTTGTTGTCAGGGATACACTTTAATTGTTATAAAGTGTCGTACATGACTAGGTAGATTCTAGATGTATAGTATATGTATATATATACACGGCTACTGAGTAACATGTATACTTTTATGATTTGTCCCTTAATTGTCATCTTTATAATACAAATAATTTCTAGATCGTTGTACATTGTTACGTTACCGATCCGCTTACGCGAAATTTACTTACATCTCTTCGCTGCCTTACGACTAAATAAAATATAAATGTATTATAAATACTTGTATTTATATATATTTATATATATTTATATATTATATATATATATATACTTTTTCCCCGTTTATATATAGTCTACTTAAATCGAGTTTGTTCAAGCTTTATTACTCATAGACAATCTGCTTGATATTTACAGAGATTAGATACAAAATTATAAACAGTTCTTAGTACAAAATAATTTTATGACTATAACGATCAAGGTTTGATAGCATAGAACAGGCATGGGCAACCCACCGTGGCCAATGGTCAGTTTCGCTGCAATTCTCTTGTTAAAGATCGAAGACTTTTTGTATTAATCCTGAGAATTTCGTCTATCGGATAATTTTTTAGGAAGGAAATGTCTAAAAATGTGTACAATACGTAGCCGAGTGATATAGCCGTGTGTGTGTTGCCCCTACCTAGATAGAAAATACAACTAGATGAGCTCTTCCTCAGTTTATCCACGATTACCCACGATTACCTGTAAATTCCTCGCAATTCCACCATAGAGGTCAACAATACGGTATATCGAAATTATATTTCGCTCGTGCACGAAAGAAAAAATTTATCAACGATTATAAATATATTAATTTCATTGCCGTAATCTTTTAATCATAATGATATACCACTTTGTACGATGCAGTTTAAATTTATCTGAAACGATTTTTAAATTAAGCATGGTATACAATAACGCGAATGCATAATATTAATGACGATATTAATGATCATTATGTAGTTTCATGGAGCTATAAGCGTTCATCTTTAATGAAGTGTAACGTTCGTTTCTATCTTGAAAATGTAATTGAAATGGTTTTTATTAGCATATTATTTAATTGTTATACGTTATAAGAAATCTAATAAATCCTTTTATGCTAATAAAATTATACTTATTTTCGAGAATTAAGATTTATGATAAAGAAGAGATCGTGTCTTAAATTATTATATTTTATAAATTATAAAATGTTAATTCTGTTAGTTGTAATCGTATTTTAAAAAAGTCGCGATTGATACTAAATATATTTTCTAAATTCCGAGGCAAGCGTGATTGTCAATAATACGCATTTAAAATGTATATTGAAGAAATCAGCAATGTATATAGTTAAATAATAAGGAAATATCATTGTAATTAAGACGATATTTGAAATCGAGCTTATCAATATATATAGGGTCTTCAAAAAATGAAATTTCGTAAGGATCTAGCGTGTTCGTACCTCACAATGCTCGAACAAAATATTTTTACTTGTCCCTGTTGCTGCAGTTCCAAACATTTACTTCATTGATGCCATTGATAGAGCTCGAATTGTTCACAAAGAATATAATTAATCATCATTGGAAAAAGGGCACGCTAGGTAGAAGTAAGTTATCTAGATTTTAATAGCGAATCTTTACATAGAGAAAGGATTACACATATTTTCTTTATGAGTATATTATCCTATTTCACTAACGTCACTAACTAATAAATTATGGAGCAGCTGCGTTTTGGATTTATATAAAGCTGTTAAATCCTAAACGTAGGATCTGTATTCTCATCATTCTTCATAATTGTTCTGCCTTTCAGATTTTTTATTAATATAGAATTGATTATAGATAATATTTTATCTGAACTACGATTTATAGTAAAAACAAAGTAATTTGGAATAATCCTTTCGCCATGAAGATTTTTGAATTGGTAGGTACAGGTAGATACGTAGAAATATACTAAATTATCACATGAGTAGACAAGTAAGTTACTCGTTAGCAGTAAAGGGCAACAATATAGCCAAAGGCAGCGTTATGCTTATATTGGCGAATCTAAACGCAACTACAATTCATTTTCTATTATCATCTAGAAATATAATGGCAGTTTGCTTCGGACTAAAAATGTACCAACGAGAGAGATGGGTAGTATTATTGTTTCAACTCAGTCACAATCGGTGCGAAAAATCGATTGGCCAAAACGTTTCGCGATAACACGAAATTATATGTCTGTTGATCATCCGATACTCTTATGTAAAATGTAAATTAGACTTAACAATCTTAGGCTTAATCGATTGGCTATTACTATTTATTTCTGGCAAGATCAAAAATTGGTATTGCCTATTTCTTACCTCGTAAATTTATACGCGAATTCGCATTAATTATAATAATTCTCTTCCATTATCGCTTTAGACGATCTCGATTTCGGTGATATAGAAGCAATTCCAGTTACGTTTAAATTCAACGCGTATATTTCAACTACGTATGGCTATGCCTCCGTACCATCTCTACTCCTTACGCGGTATTATGTTAATTTATATAAATAGTATTTTAATGATATAACGGTAACATCGTCTATCCGCTAAATATCGCATAAGTTATAATAGTCCATCTGGTATAAATACACGGAACTTAAAATAAATCGAAATATATTATCGAAATCGAGTACAACGAAAACGCGCAACGGATATAAGCCCGTTAATTTCGAAGTGTTTGAAAGCGATTACGACTTCACTTTTCTTCGCGCATTTTCTCTTTTTAAATTTTATAAGAAAGTATATTCCGATATGTTAAACTTTCGTCAACCTATTACCATTTGCTATGGATATATAACTTACCGGAAGCTAAACAATTGCCATCGTTTTCACATTAATATCAAATTATCAGCGAGTGCGTGTGGCGTTCTCGCTATCTCAAAGACAATTCGATTTTCACTCGTCATTCTTGAAAAAATGTAATGATAACGTTCCTTACTACGATACGCCTATATATACAATATTCTAATTTCATTGATCCCGCCTATCATATAAAGTTACAATTATGATGTGTCATAGTCATGATACGTAATCTATTACCATCTTCCAATGCAGAATAGGTAAAACGTTACCCTTCGTCTACCTTACGCTTACGACGTATGATATTCATCAGTTATGACAACAAATTCCATTCACATTAACTGTGATTGCAGTAGTTACATTCGAATAAACATGTATTATCGAGAAATCTTTACAGTCACTTGACTGCTTCTGAAGTTATTCAATATTCTCACATATATTACGTTTCACACAAATCTCTATTCAGATACGAACCAAAAGTATTGTTAAAAAAATGTTTAATTTTCTTATTATCAGATAATTCATTGATGCGTCATTGCATCACGATAAGAATTATTTCGCCATTTCGCGATATGTCTTATGACGATAAAGGATTTCACGATGTAAATCACATGTAGATTCGTCTCACAAATAGGCCCAGAGTGTCTGGGGACGATACCAATATAATATGTTGAAAGAGAGTAAAGGAGAGCGATAAAGAGAAAGGGAGAAATAGGCACCCACACGTTCATAAAATACAGTTATAATGCTTTACGATATTAACTCGAACAATCGTAGCGTCTAATATCGTAGCTGCTATATTGCCGTACGTCAATGTGATTTACACATTTTCTCATCGAACCCTTAATCAAAATGATATAATCCCTAGAAGGAGCCCTAATCTTTAAGTAACGATTCTTCCTATTTGCGTAATTGTCTAATTGCGCAGTATAGGTACCCATCCGTGTAGGAATGTTCACAGCTGTATTACAGTTACATATGATATTGCTCCTAAGTTCCTGATGAGAGAATTCTCCTCGTTTCATTATCTTCATTATCTCGCAAACCTCTCCAATCTCCTTCAAATACCCTCAGAGATTCTTTGCCGAGCGGTTATCTACGACAAACTCTTTATTCCGCTCTCGT